GAGAGCGAAAAGGGAATAGGTAGGGAAGGGAATGAAGTCGAACACGGGAATGCGTCCCTTTTACGGCGCTCTCTCCGTTTGTTTCGACTTCTCTCTCGTGCGTTGCCCGCGCCACCATTATTTCCGTCTGCTCTCTCGGCGATGAGTCTCCGTCGTTGGCTATTATTGCGGGCTTCATGACGGACGACAACTGTTTAAAACAATATACTCGGTTTGTATAGTTTCGAGTCGCTCTTCGCAAAATCATGTTCTTTGTTGTCGCCACTCTGACTCAGTTTTCGAGCTATTAAAACACACCTATTGTAGTTTTGTCATTACCGTTGCATTGTTGTTAAAAAGTCAATAAGATTTTTTTTTTTTTTTTTTTTTTTTTTTAGAAGAAGTTTATTACAGTGAGCAATTAAATTTTTATTACAAGAAATTTTTCTTTTTGTCTTATATACGATTTTGAAATTTATCGATTGTAAAATTTTCAATGCCAAGTTTTTCGAAAGTAATAACTATCATTAATAATAATCAAATAATCACATGACCTTACATGAAACTCGAGAATCGAAATAGATACACGATAATGGCATAAAAATGCCGTAAATTCTCTCTCTTTCTACCGTGAGAAAAATAAATATCTATTAAAAAATAATAATAAAACAACAAAATTCGTATAAAGATTCGAATTAAAATTTTGATAGATTGGATTAAAGTAAAATCTGAACAACGATTTAACACCTGAAAATATTAACTCGCAGTAATATTATATTTGCATACACACATTTCTCCACATTATTCACAAATTGATCGTCCAACGACGATCTAAAAGACGAAAACGTTAAAGACGATAGGATATAGTCAAAGGATGCGGGGGAGGGACGCGAACAATGTTTCGATAGCGAGCATAGGAACAAGTATGTAGAAGCGAGAGAAGGGGAACCCGCGATACAAAGTTTACTGTTACTTGGCCCGTGGCCTGTGCACAGATGAACACGCCAAGCGTTTCGTTGTGCTTGTTGCTCTTTACTTGTTGGCTCGCTTTCGTTGACAGGTCGACAGACACAGATAGATTGGCAAGATATGATGTAAATATAATGAGGTAATATCTCAGAAAAAAATTTGCTACCCGATACACAAGCATATTAATAACAGGGATCAAAGGTATTTTAGATTTATTGCCATCATTCATTAATTTGGAATTGATTCATTCTGAATAAATCAATATATGAGAGATGTTTCATTCATCTTTCATAGATTGTTTAATGTCTAGGAATTATCGGTCGTTATTTGCAGTAAAATTTAAATAGACGTAAGAAGAATTTGTATTTTTTATTTTTGTGTTTTTAGCTTTTTTAATTTAATTGCGAAAAAGATCTATATTAATCAAGGTTTATAAAGTATGCATAATCTTTAAAAAGTTATGCCAGGTTGTCGTTTGTTTACATTGCGAAACGTGACGTATCGAATAATGAACGCTGCTATTTATGGATATACCTAGACTCTAGACCAAGCATTCGGTTTCTAGAATAAAGCTAATTAGTTGACAGAAAAATTGTGAGACAGAGAGTCATCTCTTTGAGTATTCTCCTTTCTTTTTCTCTAAGGCAGCGATTGTCATTTTAAAAATAATTAGTATTGATTGAAACGAGAGGAGGATATTCAAAGATGCCTCTTGTCGAATAGTTTCTCTGTCAATATGCAACTACACAATTTCTATAGGGAAACTGTATGAATGCTTGGTTTAAGTATATATGCTGCTATCTAACGTGATCGATGATTGATAATATTAGTAAAGGAACGTGGGTCTTATCAATAAGATGAGATCTTATTGAAATTCATGTCGGTAAAATGGTTCGGGACTGTGATCATCCGGCGATCACTTTGTGGTCGCTGGCAATCGTAGATGGCGGAGCTTGTACGTTCACCAAGTCCTCACAAGTTCAGTACTATTTGCGAAAGAGGACGTTAGCTCATCTCTCATATGAGAGATGACATTTGTCAAGATTAACAAATTTAAAATGGCGAAATTAAAAATATTACAATTAAAAAATATATTTAGATTTTTACAAAAATTTATATATATATATATGCACAACAATTTTTATATACCATTTGAATTTCTCAACTTTGATATTAAATTCATATTCAGCGATCTAAAAATGCCTTAAGTTTATATAAATATGATTGAAAATTATTTGGTGGATCTTTAATGATCTAATTCGCAACTCTTTTGCAGTAAATTCTATATTTAAATCATCATGAATATTTTATTAATCATAGTTGATACAACAAATTTCCTTTAAGGGCTGAAAGAATTTTAATAACATACTTAATTTTAATAATAATAAAGCTTTTTGCTTATCACATACTGTAGCTATAATAAAACAAAAAATATATTAAAATTGTAGTTTTTTTTGCAACT